AGGAAAAGGACCCAAAGAGAATCGGGGCAGCTGTATGCAAAACTATTGCACAAAGCAGGTAAGTATGACATGTTTGTTTTTAAAAAAAAAAAAAAAAAAATGAAGCTGTAGTATCACTTTAACATGTTAATACTTATACAAGATTTTAGTGATTAAGATTAAATCTCAACATAAAATCAGAAATGTAACATCACTGAAAGTACAAATAAACTTTACCTTTCATAGTGAACTTATTAGTACACAATGAATCTGCCACAGGGCAAATTTTCGAAAAGGGTACACACAAGACATTTTTAAAATAAAACACAAGCAGGAAGTTTTTTTCTACCATCCATAAAAATATAAAAATCGGGTATAATGTTTTCCATTAGAAATGACACAGGTTTCACATAAACACACATACCAGAAAATATGTGAAAAGTGCAAAAACAACTGAGCTTGAGCTAGCTTGGGTAAAAGCTGAGAAAAACCTGGAGGCTGCCACTAATGACCTCTTCCTGTCTATAAATGTTCACTGCCGGGCTGTCAACGTCAATCAAATATCTTCAGTTACTTTGAATCACTGGCCTAGAAAAAACACTGATCAGGTGACCTGACTTTTCTGTAATTTCATTTGCTGCATGCTTCTTCTAGTTTAGTGGTTGAGAATGTGCTGAAGATCAACATCACTGCCAAGTATCTGGCCTCCAGGCTTCTTTTAGTATAGGTTTCCTTTAAAGTGTATGTAAACCCAATAGAATTACTTTTTGAATATGAGCATTCATTAAGACTCAATCACAGTTGGCCATAAATCATAATTTTATTAGGCTCAAATAACTATTTTTGCCTTTTTCATTTTGCGGTCACGTGGCATAGGCCATGTACCTCCACACATCATTGTCGGATAGTGGGGCAGAGATTAGTTTCTGCATCTGATGAAGCCATGAGCCCAAGCAAGCCTTACGTGAAATTACTCTTTCCCAGTATCCCTTTAAACTAACATGATCCTCACGGCTATACGTTGTGTGGTCCAGACTTTAGCTGTGCAATCTGCTGATCAGTTGCTTGATTGAACTGCTTCTGGAACAGATTGTACAGCTAATGTCCGAAACACCCAGTGATCAGCAGGGAGGAGCAAGTATGTCTGGAGGAATGGCAGTTGTTTGATTTCTTTTCCCAGAGGAAATTTAGAGCATGCCCAGTGAGAGAAGCAATGCTGAAGATGGGGGGATCTGCTAGACTAGCATTGCCACTCTAAAGTGTTACTAAACCCACAACAGTAAAATCAGCCTGTATATGCAGTAAAGCATGCTTGTTATACTCACTGTGGAACCTAAGGGGTTACTCCTCTGCATTGTGTAAAAAGGATGTTTGATTCTCTGTTCTCTTATCCTTCCCTTCTTCTACTGTCCCCAATATAACTCCTGATAGAACAGGCTTGGGGACAAGCTGCACATGCTCAGTTTGGTGTGCATTGCTAGGGAGTTTTATTTTTTTCTTTCGAGGGTGCATGTGATCAGCACAGAGCTAATTAGCATTTTCCAAACAGAGGATCAGGGGTCCTACAGCCTCATGGGACAATCAGGGGAGAATGAAACCTACTCTTACAAGCTTTAACCAGTGCTCTGCTGGACACTGACAGAAGTTACACTACTACTACATATCGATGATAAAAGGTATTTAGCAGTTTATATTTACTAAAATAATAGCAATTTCATATTGTGTGTACTGTGGGAGACCAGATATAGTGAATGCAGGGTCCTGGGTTTAGTAACACTTTAACAAGAAGGTAGTGGTAAATGGAAGTATCAACTAGGTATATATTATATAAAAAAAAAAAATCTAGTAATGAAAGTATAATTAACATTTTAAAGCCAAAATATACTTTTTTTTTTGCATTTCTTAACAGTTTAAGCTCAATGAATGTCCCACAAATGATGTAATTCTGTATTACTTTCACACTTGTTTTCCCTAGCCCTGTTTGGGCTCTGATACAATGTTTTCAAAGACCACCAGACTTCTGCTGTGCATGACATTGCAAAGGTGTGTGGAAACTGAATCCTATGTCTGAGGAATTTCATTTAGGCCAACTTTACAACACTCCTTCCTTACTCTTGTAAAGCCTCTCTGTAGCCCTGTCAAATAACAGAGTTGAGTTACTAAAACTGGAGAGTGCAAAATCTGGAGCAGCTCTGCAAAGAAACCAATCAGCTTCCAGGTTTTTTGTCAAAGCTTAATTGAATAAGCTGAAGTTAAAAGCTGATTGGCTAACATGCACAGCTGCACCAGATTTTGCACTCTCCAGTTTTAGTAAATCAACCCCCATGTTTAAAACCAATATTTACAGCAGTGAGTCAAATCTTCGAGTGGCGGGTGCAGATGGTATCTGGCCCTGGGGGGGGGGGGTGTTGGATATCAGGTCCCCTACTGTGCTCCTCCTGCTGGCCACTACATTGTTACAGGGAACCTAAGTGACTTGGCAGCCAAGTAGGAGGAACCAGAGAGTGCAATGCAGGCTCATTATATGGCACACCTGCAAATGTCAGAGACTAGCGCTGCGTACTGCTCTTTAAGAGAGTAAAGATGTGACTTACTACTACCAGAATGGTAAGTATAAAAATGTATAGTGTGCACGGAATTGTATTTTTTTAAACCGCCTCCTGCCCGCCATATAGTCCAATGACGGACGCAAGGCAGTTCTCTCGTTCTGGGAGGACGTCATATGACATCCTCCCATTCTCACCGCGCATGCGTGGCTCCGGCAGCGTGGCGATCGGCGCTGCACTGTGTCCCTCGGACACAGCAGATCACCGATCCACAGAGAGTCGAAGACGTCGTCTCGGTCATGTGATCTGCTGTGTCCAATCACAGCTGATCACATGTAATCAGGGAAATGCCAGTTATCGGCATTTCTCTCCTCACAAGCTGTCACGCTGACAGCTCAAGAGGAGAGGAGAGCCGGTAATCGGCATTCCGCGGAGGGGACATGTACACTGATCATCAGAGCACTGATGATCAGTGTAGCCCCAGCAGTGCCACCTGTCAGTGTCCATCATTGCCAGCTCTCAGTGCTCATCCATGCCACCTGCCAGTGCCCATCAGTGCCTACCAGTGCACATCAATGCCACATATCAGTGCCAATCTGAGCTGCCTTTCAGTGTCACCTAACAGTGCTGCCAGTCAGTGCCGCCTATTAGTGCCCATCACTGCAGCCTCATTAGCGCACATCAGTGAAAGAGAAAAAATCACTTATTTACAAATTTTATAACAAAAACTAAGAAAAAACTTTTTTTTTCAAAATTTCAGTGGTTTTTGGTTTAATTAATAAAAAATCCAGAGGGGGATTAAATACCACCAAAATAAAGCTCTGTCACAAAAACATGATCAAAATCTCATGCATAGGATTGCATGACCGCGCAATTGTCATTCAAAGTGTGACAGCGCTGAAAGCTGGAAATTGGCCTGGGCAGGAAGGAAGTGCCCTGTAGGCTAGTGGTTAATCCAGCAACAGGGTCACTTTAGGCCTCATGCACACTGGACGTTTTGACAACTCTCTTAGAAGCCTTTCCTCCTGAGAGCAGTGTTTTGACAGAAAAGATGCTTGTAAAAGTGTGTTACGCATTTAGGTTTGTCAAGCACTTGGTCATTAATTCATTTCATTGGCCAGAATAAATTTGTTCTGGCCATTGAAATGAATTATTCTCAAGCGTTAAACATGCTTAGGCGCATTTATAGGTGTTAAATGTTTTTGTTCTGTCAAAACACCACTGGTCCTGGATGCACTGGCAGTGGGTTTTTTTTTTCTACCTCCAAACTCCCCTGCCTCTACAAGTCTATGTGTGCATGGACACATAGGGGTTGGTTTAATAAACCTAGAAAGTGCAAAATCTGGTGCAGCTCCACATAGAAATCAATCAGCTTCCAGGTTTTTTTATCAAAGCTTAATTGAACAAGCTGAAATTAGAAGTCGATTGGCTACCATGCACAGCTACACCACATTATGCACCCTCCAGTTCTAGTAAATCAACCCCATAGGCTAACATGCAGGAAAAAAAACACTAGATGGCCCTAGGAGCAGCTGAAAAACCATCCAGCGTGCATGAGGCCTTATAGGAGAAGTATAGCCAAAGATTTTGGCTGCACTTCTCCTGTAGGTCACAGTTTGTTCTGCACTCCTGTGATCTGTTTTAAGCCGACAGCGGGCTAAAGTCCCGTTGGCTGACGTCACTCAGTCAGTCCAGGCTTGGGAAAGATTCTGACCAGATGTTCAGGATCCACCCAGATGCCTTGCTCAGCCTCTCAGTGATCCAATGTGGACGGAGCGTCTCTGGGACTGACCTTCTCATGTGCATGGCACGTCTCCGGGACTGACCTTCCAATGTGGATGGAGCGTCTCCGGGACTGACCTTCCCATGTGCACGGGGCGTCTCCGGGACTGACCTTCCCATGTGCACGGGGCGTCTCCGGGACTGACCTTCCCATGTGCACGGGGCGTCTCCGGGACTGACCTTCCCATGTGCACGGGGCGTCTCCGGGACTGACCTTCCCATGTGCACGGGGCGTCTCCGGGACTGACCTTCCCATGTGCACGGGGCGTCTCCGGGACTGACCTTCCCATGTGCACGGGGCGTCTCCGGGACTGACCTTCCCATGTGCACGGGGCGTCTCCGGGACTGACCTTCCCATGTGCACGGGGCGTCTCCGGGACTGACCTTCCCATGTGCACGGGGCGTCTCCGGGACTGACCTTCCCATGTGCACGGGGCGTCTCTGGGACTGACTACATGACATGTCCATGATGAGGCCTCCCACTGACCTCCCTGTCTGCTCAGCTCCAAGTACAGGACTATTATGTAGAATGTACGTTCTGTGAGGGGAGCACATCCCCCACCTCCCTCTCATCTTCACAGTCACGTCCTATTGTACACAAGCCATACGTGCCTATGTCAGAGGTGACCCCCACTTCCCAGCACCCACCCCCAGGTGTCATTCAGAACTCCCACCGCTACCATGCGTGCTTACTTCTCTCCTTGTAGATCCTCCTTCTTCCTCCCACAGAAGGAACCTTGATGACATCACACGGTCATGTGACTAAGGCTGCCAATACGCAGAATGCAGTACCGCCCATGGCTGGGCTAGAAATCATCAGGAAGTGTCCGGAGCGGAGCCGGGTGAGAGTCCGACAAAGACGTAATCCGGGATCTGGCAGTACTCCCGGCTGGTGACGGCTAGATCTAGTCACGTGACTGCAGTGTCATCCTGGGCATGTGTACAGCGATCACACACTGATCATCCTATCACTGCCCCGCCTCTCGATCTTCTCTCCGGTCACATCTGTCCCTATGACCCTGAACTCCCAGATCTAGATCTGTATTCTGCTCAGTGATCGCTGATTGCTGGATCAGTAATGTGGGATATTGACATACAGATCAGGATTCCGGAAACACGAATGTATGACTTCTGAGTGTCCAGATTGCTCACATTGCTGCATATATAGTGGATGAAACGTTCAGTATGCTGACTCGTGTTATTCCCTCTCACTACAACAACACAATGGGGCTGATTTACTAAAGGCAAATAGTCTGTGCACTGTCTCTACACCTGAGGGGAACATGCAAGGAAACATGAAAAACATTTTTGCTTGCACATGATTGGATGAAAGAAATCGGCAGAGCTTCTCATTTCAGAGCTTCCCCTCAGATCTAAAGCAGCTGCACCTGTAGAGCACAGTATACTTACCTTTAGTAAATCAACCCCGATGGATCACATCCTCATCTACGGTATATCATACATATACAAAGGGCGGGGCTTAGTGTGCCCTCCACAACGTGACCCTCCCCCACTACTACACACACCAGTCCTCTGCTCCATCACTGAGCTCATATTCACATTTGCCCAGTTTAGGCTCTTTATTGTTTGCATTTGTTGGGTTTGTACAGGAGTCTTTGCAGGCATCTGAGGTGTGAGTGCTTTTTAAAAAAATATTTTTAGCTCTATTTCCTTGGCCTCTGTGACTGTGTCCAAATCTTACCTATCTTACCACACCTTCAATGTCACTCACAACTCTACTTCCTCCTCTCCTACTTCTCTTACTGTCGGGTCCCCCACAAGGTTCTGTCCTTGGACCTCTCCTATTGATCTACACTTCTTCCTTGGGTCAGCTGATAGCTTCCCATGGTTTCCAATCCCATTTCTATGCTGATGACACACAAATCTATCTCTGCTCCTCAGCGCACCACATCAGTTTCCTCACGTATCATCGATTTACTAACAGACATATCAGGCTGGATGTCACAACACTTCCTAAAACTCAATCTATCCAGAATTGAGCTCATATTTCCTCCCCCACGTGCCTCTTCCTCTGAATTCTCTGTCAGGATCAATAGCACAACTATCAACCCATCCCTGCATGCCAGGGTGCTAGTGGTAACCCTGGATTCTGAACTATCCTTTCAGGCCCACATCCAATCCCTGTCCAAATCATGGTGCCTAAACCTTCCCAACATCTCCAGAATATGCTCCTTCTTAACCAATGACACCACGCAGCTCCTAATTCACTCCCTGGTTATCTCTCGCCTCGACTATTGCAACTCCCTCCTCATTGGCTTACCTATACATAGGCTATTCCCCTCCAGTCCATCATGAATACTGCTGCCAGGCTCATCCACCTTACCAACTGTTCAGTGTCTGCTACCCCTCTCTGCCAATCTCTCCACTGGCTTCCACTCGCCCAATGAATAAAATTCAAGATACAACAACTTACAAAACCATCCACAACTCTGCCCTCAGCTACATCACCAACCTGGTCTCAAAATATCAACCAAAGCACTCTTTTTGATCCTCCCAAGACCTTCTGCTCTCTTGTTCCCCTGTCACCTCCTCCCATGCTCACCTCCAGGACTTTTCCCAAGCTCCTCCTATCCTATGGAACTCCCTACCCCAATCTGTCCAGCTACCTTCTGCCATGATCGCGGCGTCAGACCCCAGACCTTCTCACCAAACTCGTGACCGAAGGACTGGCCAATCTGAAACCGCGATGTCATGTGGGTAACAATGCCACACCCAGCTGCACCCTGCACAACGATTTTACAGCTAATTGGACCACAATCAATGTACCGGCAGTTTGAGCGATTGTTACTGGGTCAGGTTAATTACGCAATTAACCCTTCACACTGCCACCACCTCCTTTTTGTACAGAGAAAGAGGAAACTTGGCGATATCAGCTAAAACACTATAATGATTGAGGTAATCATCTGTATAACACCGCAGGCCGGTTATACAGAGGGTTAAACAAACACAGTAGCGTTCTTTTTAGAGGCAGGAATTCATAAATTGCAATTAAGAGCTATAGAAACAGTTCAGCACTTTCAGAAGGAAAGATTTATTACTAAAAGGTCAAATGGGTGCAAAAAAAATATTTACAGAAAAAGATGTAACTAATATATATATAAATATACAGAGAACAACAGCACAGCAAAGAGATAATAGAAAGGAGGTTTAAGGGTTAAAGTACTTGCCAAAGTCCTGGGTTAGCAGATCAAGTTTCAGAGCAGATGGATGCTTTGATCTCCCTCTGTTTTGATGGTCAATGGGAGAATTCTTCATCTTCCCTCTCTTATGCCTGACAGCCCATTTTGTAGTTCCCTAGCAGGGGGTGTCTTTGAAGTCCAGGACCAATGCCCCGTTTAGGGAGGGATCATCGGGCGGAGCCCTAAACTAGAGCCAAAATCTCCCGTAACTCATATTTTGGCCCATAACTTTCCATCTGCACAAGTGACATTCCACCCGCGGATAGATTATTATGCAGACACGTCTGAGGATTGATTAGATGTGAATTATGAAATTATACACTGAACAGTTCACGAGATCTGCTTTTCTGTTTTCCTATGTATTCAAGACAATGCGAGTGACCTATGAAATTGTTTATCTCCTCTTAGCCAATCTGACGATATGTCTGGTTTTTATGTAAGTCTCTCATATTCCAAGATATGAGATGGGAAAAATGGATTTGTAAAAGTGTTTATCTGATTCGTGCTTAGTTGGAATGCCTTGAACTCAGGTGTTTTATCGCTCTGGGCTCCCTGCTGGCTCTAGCCTGCCAGTGACCCACAACCAGATGTCACTATGGCTGAAGAGAGAGGAAGGGGGAGAATGAGGGGGGGGGACATGGCGAACTCTTAACAAAATGGAGGCTGCGTCCTTCACTGTGTGTACGCTGGTTACACCTTCTATTCTATCCACCTTTAGACGATCCATGAAAACCTTTCTCTTTAACTGCTTCCTATACTGTGGACGGGTAGTAGCTGCAGGCAAAGCAACATACCCGTACGTCGCTTTGCTCTTCCTGGTTTAGAGCTTGCATGTGCACGCTTCCACCGATGACTCCCATTGTCATTCGTTGTAGGAGGTGTATGTCAGCAGGTCTCAGCCAGTGAATGGAGATGCAGAGCTAGCTGGTTCTTCTCTCCCTGGAACCATTTTGTTCATCACACATGAGTAAAAGCAGCAAACTGCACCCACACACATTAGATAGAAACATTTTAACCCCTTGATTGCCACATTTAACCCTTTGATTGCCCCCTGCCAGTGCCATTAGTACAGTGTCAGTGTACAGTATTTTTCACTGATCACTGTATTAGTGCCACTAGCAATGTCAGATAGTGTCAGGGTCAGTTAGGGTCCCTCCCAGCTAGGGTCAGCTAACATTAGATTGCCCGAACGCTATCGCACTCATGTTATAGGTTGCTGATCACCCCCATTACTAGTAGAGTGTTTGTACGGATCAATATATTGATCACGTATAGAACTATACCAGTGTCCCCTTAGTATTAGTGTCCCAAAAACACAGTGTTAACAGGATCATCTCCGTTTGCTGCCAGCACTTAGCATTTAGCCCCGACACTCCCCCCCACCCCTAACAAGAAGTGCAGTGTCAGTATAATTTGTGATCACTGTCACCTGTAATACATTGCACACAAAACCGCAGTGTTCGCAGAATCAGGCCTGATCTCTGCCAGCACTAGCAGGTGAATTTTATTGACGTTAAAACTTTTATGTGCCTAACCCTCAACGTGGGCATTACAAAAAGAATGAGTTGCGGTTGTATTGGTCCGCAGACCCGATTCATCATATGTCCGTGTTCTCTGCTGCCATGGCCAGGCATAGATATGAGACGATAATGCGCTTCATGCATTTCAGTGATAACACACTCTGTCATTCTCGGGGTGACCCTGAACATGACAGGCTTTACAAAATTCGGCTCCTCATAAACCACCTCACTGAGAAAATTGAAGATGTGTATACACCCCAGCAAAACATCTGCATGCATGAGTCCCTCATTCACTTTACTGGCCGCCTTGCATTCAAACAGTACATCCCAAGCAAGCGTGCCAGATATGGGGTCAAATAAGCTCTGTGAGAGGGCCACAGGCTATATGTACACATTTAGGGTTTATGAGGGAAGAGACAGCAAAGTAGAGCCCCCCGACTGCCCAGACTACATGGGGAGCAGTGGCAAGATAGTTTGGGACTTAGTGTCTTGTTTGTTCTGTAAGGGGTACCACTTATATGTAGACAATTTGTATACAAGCAACGTGTGACCTAATCGCCGGGACTTCCCCCAACGGCTTGTGAATACCCGACTTAGAAAGGGGGAGAAAGCCTGCTTGAGGAATGATGAATTGCTCGCAGTGAAGTGGAAGGACAAATGGGATGTTTTCGTCCTGTCTTCCATTCATGCATACGCGACAGTCCAAATTAGCACGGTATCTGGCGTTGTTGAGAAACCCCTCTGTGTCCAAGACTATTACCCTAACATGGGAGAGGTGGACTTCAGTGACCAAATGATGAATCCATACCTAATTTCTCCCGAAAGCTCGACACTGGTACAAATTGGTATCTATTTATTTCAGTTGGCTATATATAATGCTTTTGTAATTTACAAAGCAACTGGACAAAGTGGATCCTTCCTAAAATTTCAGTAAGCGATCATCAGGGCCCTTTCGTATTCCAGAAGATGCTGTGGCCCAATCCTCAAATCCAGATGCAGTTAGCCGGCTGCATGAGAGGCATTTTCC